TTTGAAAAAGTGTCCTAACCACAAAAATTGGCACTACCCGACCAATCATAGCAAGGGTAGTATGGAAGAGCCGTTCACACAGGGAGACAAGGGAGAGGGCTGGGGGAGGCAACGAGACAAGCCAGAAAGAGGGAGAGGGGAGACACCCCCAAAACCGAACCCATTTGCTACAAGCTTTTTGATCGGTGAAGCTCTCATTGAAAAATCAGTCTATGCCGGCATGTGAATTTCTGTGTTGTACGCTAGAGCTACCTGCCCACTGGGCTGTCAGGACCCCATATGACTTAAAACTAAGGGTCTGGAACTATTGCTTACAATGAGACAAGGCCACTGATTCAGCTCAGAGCATTACCCATTACCATCAGGTCGTAGCAGTCTCTTGTTTAGTTAAAAGAAGCGTAGCCTTCCCCTCGCTCCCAGCCCCCACAAAACCCCAACTGTCCCGGCCCATCAAGATGAAAAACTGGCTCATTTTAAATACTCTGCAAACCATTAGCAGCGCCCCCCAAACTGTCAGTGAGGGTTTGGGTTTTTTTTCTTATCTTGATACTTGCACTGTGTGCTAATTATGATGATGATCAGTTAGCGCTATCCTTTAATAAGACGAATGATTTAGCAATGTATACTAGTACACAAGGAATGGTGGATTCTTCTTTGAAAAGAAATTTCGTTTATATAGAGAAGATATTTTAAGAGTAAAAAGCTCAGTGTTCTATATCAAAGGTGTGATGTTGTTTTTTCTTTTCAGGGAAGAGGAGAATCAATCCCTAGGTATTAGCATAAACATTTGTGCCTGCCAGAACAAAGTGGTTGGCTCTACCTCACACCAGGAACATTTCACAAGAGTGTGCGAGAAGCAGTTCTGCTTCTGTAAGGGACTCGCAAAAAGGGAATATACCTGCTGCAAGGCTGCGGGAAGGGGGCCATGGACAGGACGGAGTACCTGCTGGGTGCTCTCGGAAACATCTTCCAAGAGTCACAATTATTGAAAGATTATTTTGTAACATGTATTTTGTACTTTAAAATATCAGTATTAATATTAATATTTTGATATATCTTGTCATTTTTTCGGGGACATGGTTACCATACTCAAAACCACTTTCTATGTATACCACAATAATTAATTTTATTTGCCTAAAAATTGAATGCTTGCCCACAACCCTCTTAAGCGCTAATAATGTCTTTTCCTCAGTTTTAAACCTGTAGAAAATACTGCTCCCCTTGATCTGCATCTGGAAAACCTGCCGCTAGAGTTTTCACTGTGAACGGAGATAGGAATGTTGGAAGTGTGATTGTGTGCACCTATATACAGTTGCTCTTAGAACATTTAAGTAATTGTTGCAGGGGAAAAATAGTTTTCTATTTTCTATTATTTTTCTGGGAGACTAACCAAACCATATTCCATATCTGTAACAGTGATGTTTTATAGACCGGTGTGAAAGCTCACGCGCAAGCCCTGTCCTCATTCCAAGTGAAGTAGGGACTTCTGCTGTATATTTAGGTGAAAGACAAGTTTAATAGACTTGCTGTACTCTCCTGTAAGCTGTTCTCCTAAAAAGAACTGCTGGGTCTTCTACAAAATGACATTACAGACTCTACGGTTGTTGTTCCTGCCCCCCTACCGCAACCTCATAATTTCAGCTGCAGCTGCCACTTTGCCACATTAGCTCTTCAGAGCAGTTAGCAAGCCCTTTGAAACCAAAACTTACTTGATGCCTCTTGGATCACTTTCATGTTACGTTGTGGATCCGACCAGCTGTTCTGAACAATCACAGTGTAATGATTTCCTCGGCGGTTAATAATTCCTGTTTCTAAAGCACATCTTCAACACCACAGTATCTCCTTTAGTTCCAGGTCCTAAGTTTTATGTTATTGTTCCTGTTTCTGTCAGGTTTTGAGTAATTTAACTTGGCTAGTTCACAGAGGGTCAGGTCACAACAGGAGAAGCATTACTGAATTGGCTTTAGTCTTTCTTTACAGATGCCAGGGTTGGGAAGGGCATCTCTTTGCAAGTCCCACAGAAATCAATCTGACACCTGGATGTAATCTAGATAAAATTGTGAGATGCGAGTAATATCCTGCTCTAATAGTCCTGCACCATTGAGACGGTGACTCCCCCATCCTTTGAATCTCATCATCATCTGCGGCAAGCATTTGCTAAATTTTGTGCTTGTTCCTTTGAATCTCATCATCATCTGATCATCTGTGGCAAGCATTTGCTAAATTTTGTGCTTGCAAACATTCATCATCTGAAAAACAGTTGGATCAAGAATATCGCAGAGAGGAAACTAATCTTAAAGGGATGAGGAAAAACTTCTAAAGGAAAAAATAACCCCAAAACACGATGCAGCGATCCATTCTATATCAAGAGAAGCTTTTCCTCTAGTTGTAAGGCAGTGTGAGGACAGGATCATTCCTTAAATTATCCCTGCTCCACGACAGAGAGGCAGCACAAGCACCGTGAAACAATTCCCTCCTCCTCTGTCTCGCCAAAGCATTAGACTAGATTAAACTGGTCTTTGGAAGAAAAAAATGTGATCAGTGACTTCATAACTGGGCTCTAAAACAGTAGACAAATATATATGTGGACTACATATATTGGTAAACATAATTGTTGTAAAATTAATCAATGTTTTCTTCTTCAAGGACAGACATCCAACCATACAAATGCCCTGCGGCTGGTAGCTTCCACAAAGTCTTTGCAGGAGGCAGACGTAAGGAGGGAAGACAACTCCGAAATCTTTATTAGCACAGTATTGCAAGAGTCCGTACACACCAGTATGTACCGCTGGTTCCTAAACACTCCGATTACAAAGTGTCCACAGAGAAGCCAGTGAGTAAGTGTAGCAAAGCCACCTGCATCCTGGAAACCATTTCCAATTCAGTTGTTAAAAGAGCTTGCTATGTTCAAAAAGAGTCCCATGGATATTATTTGAGCAGATGCCACTTTTCAACATGTGCTACAAACTACTGCAGTCTTCTTGAACTGTCTATTTTTTTCAAAGTAAAACAGGTAACAACAGTGCTAAGTGGTGCTTCCCCCAGTGGCCAAATCTGGATTGGAGAGATTTGTGCAGTTTGGAATACATTTTTTTTTTTTTTATAGTTGATTAACCTTTCCACACATGAAGTCTTCCCAGGTGATTTCCAAAATGAAAACTGGATGCAGAAAGACCAGTTTTGTGTGCCCACTAGTTCTGCTCTCACTGGACTGATGCTGGGGATGTTTTGTACAGGAATTGGTAATGTGGCCTGGGTAACAACAGATGATACGGTAGGAATGTAAGTGTAAATAGTGTGCTCGAACAGAATACACAAATCGGCATGTTCTGAGAGGATGTTTGCCCAAAACCTGATAACGCTAAGAGGAAATTAACAATAACAAAGCTTGCTTAAGACAATGATCACCCAGATTAAACAGTAACCAGGGGATTAGATTACCAAGAGCCTTTTGCTTGAAAAGCAGCAAGAGAATTTGTGATTGTCGGGAAAGCAGCACCAGAGCAGTAGGCATCATTACTTCTAGGGCCAGAGAGCATCCTCCCCATCAGACATGGCAAGTAGCTCCCACCCCACTCCCAGTAGAGGCTGGCAGGATGAGGCATTGCAGTAGGGACCCACCTCTCAGGAGTGCGTAGGGGAACTCACAGGGTACACTTTCATCGGCATGTGGATTAGCTGCACAGGTACACATGCCCACATCTCCGAGAAGGCAGCTTTAGAAACAGGGGAATCTGCACTCCCAAAAGCGGGAGATTGCATTTGTAACTCACGCTTCTCACAAGAGAGGGGATGTGCATATACAACTGTGTGAATATGTAAGTGGGATCAGTTGTAGAAGGGTATGTAAGAAATTTATAGGTGCTTATTAACTCTTTGTAAGCATATAATATTGTGACTTCTGTTGTACTGCTGATACTGATCCACAACATATAATTCACTGATTACCGGCAAATTACATGTTGCTACTCAATAGACCTCCTTGGTGCTGTCAAGACTATGTGAGTTGCAGTTATTCTCTGCAAAAAGTTGCTGTTTCATTATTACAAATTTGACAGAAGCATCACATCTGCAGAACAAGGAGTGGCGAGGCAACATTCTTCCAGACAAGCAGAGAAGACATAATTCATCAATTTGAAAAAAAAAAATAAATCTTAAGATTGAACCAGAGCAAGACAAATTCAAACAATATCCTCCTGAAAGCAGCCCAGATGTACAATCCTGTTTCGACCCTGAGTGTTCAAAGACATACTGCAGTGATGTATCGCAGATTCAGTGTCACTAGAAATGCTCTAGCATATTAGCAACTACATAATTTTGGTCATTGTGATTTGTGTCAGAAGAACAAGGCAAAACAGGCTGACAAAGGAGTTTTGCTCTATCCATGTCACTGATATCAGAAGCCAAGAATCAGGCGTACAGTGCGCATTTAAAAGCAAAGAGCTTGTGGTGATAACTATGAAGTTCATGTTGCCCAATTGAAAAAAATCTCTTAACAATCAATACTTGCAGCAACATTTGTCAACGGTAAAGAACTCCATCAAAGCACAACTGCTCTTTTTCCAAGTCATGGATCTAGTTCACGTTTTCCATGGTTGCACGAGAAATTTTTAAGGTAAAGACAGCCTAGTATTTTGAGGGGGGTTGTTTTTTTATATGGTGAGCTTTATGCCTAAATTGGCATGAAAATTTAGAAGATGTAGAGTGGACAGGCTAGGTGCAACGTGAGAACTCCAGCTGCAGACTGGCGCTGATGCACTGTTTGTTCTGTTCATCTGCTACCTGCAGAGAACATTGGTTGCCAGTTATCAACTACCCAGCTACACAAATCAATCTTTAAAAAGGCAGTATTTTCAGTTCCAGTGGGTTTTCTCAGTTTCAATAGCTGAGGCACCTGCAAACACAGTAAATACGGATGTTCAAAACCTAGAGAGGACAAAGGTATTTTAACAGGTAATAGCAAGCTGCTGAGCAAAGAATTTGGAGGAGAGTTCCGAGACATGATACAACTGAGTAACTTCAAGTTAACACAAGAGGATCAACAGATACCTACAATTACGACCAAGCAGATGCTGAAGCCTTCCTTAAAAGGCTTGAAAATAGCTTTCATTGGATTGCTGCTGACTGGTGTAGATACTCCACCACTTACTGATGGTTTCCTGAGAAGCCTCGAGTATGATCCTGCTTCACAGGTATTTTATGACCAGAAGTTCAAACAAAACCTTCAGAAGTGCGTTTGAATCTCAAAGACCTTGGAGAAGTGATTTTCAAGTAAATAGGAATATATTTTGGCAATATGTTAACCCCCATTGAAAGCAAAGACTAGAGGCATTAGGCTGGCATAACCCAGGGAGCTTCCAGGGAGCTGCCCACGCCAAATAATCACTACGAAAAATGACAAAGCAGATTCAGGGAAGCTACTGTGAGCCCTGCTGAAACCATCCACAGGCCACCTGTGTGAAATAAGCAGAATAAATCTACTCAGAGGAGTAAGTGGTGTTCACAAGCCAATTTGCAAAGCCCGGGGAATACGTCTGTCCTTTGAACCACCCAAAGGTGCATCACCAGAAGACAGCACAAGCTTTCATTTTGAGAAGTTATCACAATACTTTAGAAGATGCTGAGTGACAGCAGGCACATGTTCATTCAGTTAACTCTTCAGTAACACAGGTAGACTCATACCAGGATCCACTCTTGAATTATGACTGCTCCAGCACTACAAGGACATCTAGGAAATATCCTTCAAAGATCCTTTATGTCACATGAACAAAGGAAGACAAGATGGTTAATTGACATCTAGACTAAATGGATTTAGATTTGTAGAATATTGGGACATCTTTTCTGGATAAAAAACCCTGTATAATTTAGCCTGTCACAGATGGGGGGGGGGGAACCACCTTCCCAAGCAAAACTTAGCAAGATTAAAAGCAATGGCATTAAGGAGCTAAGGAATCAGGTGACCATTCTGTTAGCACAAAGTAAAGATGATCAGGCTAAAATTAAGCCAATGACCACAAACCTCACAAGAACCTAACTCCCTAAACATACACATTTAATTAATAGGAATTGAATTACTAATCTGGAACTATAAATAAAATCTAATTGGTTTTACTATAAGCTAATGGAAAATATATGGATAACAAAATATTCAGTTCATTACTCAGGACTGTTCCTGAAGGACAAACTGGTCAAAGGAAGGTAAAAAAAACCAAAACACCTAGTAATCTATTAAAAAAAAAAAAAGTCAGAAAGTGTCATGAATGCACATGGAACAATATTCTGCATGATAAATCATGAAATTAGGTATTGAGTTGTTTCTGCTATAGACTACCGTCATGTTAAAAGCATGTCTTGCTTCTTGGTTGCTTATCTTCTTAATTACGTGACATGAAGAAAACACCCCTGGAAGCTTCATCTAAAAAGCATACGCCAACATATATCTCACAATCTCATAAGTACAGTTAGTATTAGCTGGGGAGAAAAACCTACATTAAACCAGTATGTAACCAAATGAAAACCAGGCATAATGCAAAATATGAATCAGAAGCTAAGAATGACCCAATATTCAGAAGGTAAGAAAAAGGTTGTATTTCAGAGAAAGCAGGAAGTTCAGCTATATTTCTGTTCTACATTTGTGGAGAAAAACAACATATTTCAGAAAATTCTAACAATAGCTAAGGAAAGCCTTAAACATAGGAACAGAAGTAAGGCGGTTTTAAAATCAGCAGCTCCAGATAGCTTGCATCCAAGAATTTTAAGAGCTGGCAAAGACGACTTGTGTGCTGTTAATGTGGATTTTCCATAAGCTTTGAGAAATCTGGGGAAGCTCAGGAAAAAAAAAAATCCCAAAGAAGCTGAGGTGGTGCCAATACTAGAAAAAAAAACATAAGAAATGAACAAATTTAGGAACTTACTGTCAACCTTGCATTAATCCCAGGGAAAAAAACCCCAAACCGACTTCTTAATACAGGTACAAGAAATAAAGGAGGAAATTATATTTAAATTACACAGCTTAAATGCAGGGAAAATGTATCTTTTCAGATTGACCATTTTTCTTATGCAATCACGGCATACTTTTGGTAGACAATAGGAAGAGTGTTGACATAACACATTTGTACATTGACTTGTTCAATAGGACACAGAGAAACCGGAATAGTTGTGCACACATAGTTCATAGTAAGTAAATTAAAACTAAGGTTACAAGTTTCTGTCATCAATGAGGAATCAGTCAGACATATTTCTAATTGAATCCCACAGGAATTAGTTTTTGGCAGCAAGCTACTCATTATTTTATCTGGAAATAAAGTTCACTAAGGACATTCATAAAAGCTCTAAGTAAATAACATAGCAAGACTGCTGATTGGGAACAATCTGGATTACCGGACAACTAAGTGTTTCAGCGTGATCAGTGTGAGGTCATTTATTTGAGTGATGCATATAAAACACTCAAAGATGGAAAATTTCCTCAACAAATAGCTGGAATAGCTGATAACAGAATAAACATGGGTTCCTTATCCATAAGTGAGTTCAAAATTGTTAATGTAGTTGTGAAATGTCTCAGAAAACCCACCAGAACCAAATGCTGATTTCATTGCAGGGAGGAAGAGGCCAGACAACCAGGACCATCATCAAAACAGATTCTTCTGTTCATGAAAACTGATCTCCACTGGCAAAAGACCTTGCTGCATTTCAGGAAGCAGCAACAGGATGACAACTTCTATATCCGTGTTTGTTGCAGCTGCTTTATCAGAATATAGTATCTAGTCCAAAGAAGTTATTAGTAAACCAGAGACTTCAAAGATCTAATACAAATGATCCAAGTGCAAAATAAGTCTAAAATTGAGTATCACAATGGAATAATTGGCATATAAAAGTTAACTTCATTCCATGAGGTTTAAAGACCATATAAAGCCTTTGGTAGGGGAAAAAATATATTAAGTGCAGTGTGATAGCCGAAAGTAAGTTCATATTAAAAACACCGAGCAGGCTTTTTTGAATAGCTGTAGTAATTACTAAGCTTCCAAAGGTGGCAGTAGTTTTGCTAACATTATACACGCCTATGATTACTGGACAAAACTCCAAACTAGAATTAAAATTTTATTTTCAGAATATAATCACAGTGACCTTACTATAGAGCATCATTTCATAACATACAACATCTGCTTCCCCAGTTCAATAAACGTGACAGGTAGTGATGTAACTAGAAACATGCACGCTCTCAGCAAAATGCTTGTTTTGGGACTGGCAGCTATCAGCATCCAGGCCAAATTAATGACTGTTCTCATTAAAAAAACATCCCTCCAAGGCCCAATCTGAATAACATGATTCAATAAATAAAATGAATTTAAGTCCTTAAATTTAAGGATGAACGAAAACCAGCATTTTTACTTAAAGTTTCTGTTCTGCCACCTCCACTTTCATCAATGGCTAAAAAGAAAGAGGAAAGGAAGGCGGGAAGGGGGAAAAGAGGAAAGGAAGGCGGGAAGGGGGAAAAGAGGAAAGGAAGGCGGGAAGGGGGAAAAGAGGAAAGGAAGGCGGGAAGGGGGAAAAGAGGAAAGGAGGAAAAAGCAAAAGGTTTAGCTGGGAAAGGGCTCGTTCTCCCTGGAAGCGATGAGGACTCGCCTGTACACCAAAGCCCAGTACTGCCCCAGCAGAGAGCCGCAGTCTACCGGTAAAGGCACGGAGGAGCGCAGTGCGCCCGCGGGGGAAGGGCGCGGGCCCGGTGCAGGGGGTACAGCGGCCCCACAAACCGCCCTCGCCGCGGACACGGGCGCCCTCCCCACGTCCCGTGGCGGGGCGAAGGCGCTCGGCCCCGCCGGCTGAGCGGCAT